CCCTAAACCCTAAACCCTATACAAGACCAAAGAGCTGAACACGAAAATCATGGTGAGTTCGAAGCCTGATTTGGCGAGTGCTCTTGTAAGACTGGTCGCTTAGGGTTTGCAAGGGACTTTATTGTGTAGGGCTGCAGCTTTAGGGGTCAGGGTCAGGTTACAAGGGCTCAAAGGATATGCTGCAAGTAAGTAGGACGTAGGCATCCATCCGCGGCGGCACGAGCACCAAGCTGTCGGTCAGTCATGGTGCGGCGCAAAAGCCCGAGGAAGCTGAGGCCATGCGGTTGATGATGATATGAATCCTGCATTACGGAATACCACATGATTCCTGTAGTTTAGGGTCCCTAAGGTAATGCAGGGTTTATATCATCAACAGTATGTCCAGCGACGTCCCTAACCGTAAAATCCCTTGTTCGCCTCCTTACACCCTAAACCCTAGATCCCTTACAAACCCTCTTCTAAATCAAGGTATGCCCCAGCATATCCCACCGCGGGAGCGGTCGAGGCCGGTTGGTTCTTGAGGGAGGGGTTTAGGGTTTAGGGTTTAGGGTGTAGGGTTCAGGGTTTAGGGTTTAGGGTTCAGGGTTTAGGGTTTAGGGTTTTTGGTTTAGATCGAGGCCTCTTGCTTCTTGAGGGAGGGCTCAGCAGGTGTAGGGGTGCTTTTGGTTTCGGGTCCAGCGCGTGTGCGTGATATAGGGGCCTAGATAATTACCAATACTATTTTGGGGGGTTCCTTAGTGATACATATATAGTATAATGGCCCCAAAGCCCTATTCTAATTATACAGACCCCTATATTGCGTGTGTGTGTGTGTGTATTCTGAAGGGTTTAGGTCGGAAGGATGCCAAGGATATTCGGGAAAGGTCCGGATGATGTAGATTGGGTTTAGGGTTTAGGGTTTAGGGAAGCTTACCAGAATCACGCAACATGTTGACCATCATGTACTTTGTGACAAGAGATGCCAGTTGGTCATGGTCATCTCAATTTCGCATAGTTTCGCACACATGAATAATGGATGATGCAGCTATTTGGACGAATGATCATCGCGAGCCACAGCCCAAAGACACAACTACGACAATCCTCACGATCATGACGCCACACATTCGCAACAGTATGCGCACACACTAGCAGCACTCATGCTGAAGAGCCAAGAACTGCTTGAGACAAGGATCATCGTGCTACTAAGCTCCGGAAAAGTTGGTATCGCAGGACCGGATTGTAAAACAGACCTGGCCAGCCCCAGGATTCAGAACTTTGAGAATAAGGGTGTCGACCGGCAAGACAGGAAACACCAAGTACATGAACCCGAAACCTTGACAACTACAAAAGGGTTTCGGGACATGCTTGCCGTACAGTCTAGTCCTACAGTCCTTTCTGTGCCCTCGGTTCTAGCCCGACCGCTCCCCCTCCAGTTTCGAGATCCTGTTCGGTCGTTTCAACGACCCCAATGGAGGGATTGGAAACCAGTGGCAGTAAGGCTCCCTCATGGTTCCTAGATTCTAGATCAGTATGCTGTAGTCTGGTCCAAAATCCCTGCTCCAATTTGTCATCCGGCCCCAGAGTAAGCCCTCCAAAGCCCCATAAAGCCTTTCGCATTTCTTCAAACACCCTTTACATACCTCGCAACCACCTGCAGAACCACTACACTAGACCCTTAAACCCTAAACCCTATACCTGATATTTATCCATCGATTGCAGGTCGAGAGACCGACAGCAGCACTCCCAGTTTGTAAAGGGGGCAGGAGGGGGGGGGTGGGGGGGCGCACGGGGGGAGGGAGGCCTTAAACACAGCGTGCCGCATACTGTAGATCCTACTATTTCATTAGTTTAAGGTTCATTTATATATATATATATATATATATCTGGTCCCTATTTTCTGGAATGTAGAGGTGTAAGATGTGTGTGTTTTGCACCCTAACCCCCAAACCCTAATTCGTAAAACCCTAAACCCCAAACCGTCGAAGAGTAAGGATGATTGGGTTACGGTTACAGTCACAAACTGAGTTTTACTAGGTAGTATCAGGGAGACCCCTTAACGGGGACCCTTGGTAACCCTACTTATGGCTCTCTTAACAGGGACCTTATTCAGAGGGTCTATATCTCCAAGGGTCCACCTAATTCTAAGTCCTAATTTTGATTTGGTGTTAAAGCAACGGTTGAGGGTTCAAGAAGTACCACCGAAGTTGTAGCCAGTAAGCTGTGTTCTTGTTACGGGTTTAGTTTAAGTTACCATAATAGGGATCTATAGTAAATTAATATGCCTTCTTTGTAATTCCAGGCAGGAAACCAGAACTGCGTCTATCTGCAAAGGGGCGTTACTCCACGATCCTGCTTGTATGTCACGACCAGCTTGCATACGGTTCAACCCTAAACCCTAAACCCAAACTTCCGCGCGTGATGGCTTTGCGGATAGACGGTGCGACCTTCGTGCTCGTTACATGAGCCCCTGTCCGATCGGGAAGCCATAAATGTTAGCACTGTTACAGTGGGCACAAGACCCTGTTAATGCAGATTCCAATAGGATCCAAATTTCAAGGCCACTACAGAAAGGCGGTTTGTTAATCAGGCGTCTACATCCAAACCGCCAGCCCAGCACCCCCTAAAGCCCTAAACCCTAAACCCCAAGCCCCTAACCCCTAAACCCTAACTAAACCCCCCCTAGACGCAAGGTCTCTGGGCTATTTCTCCCAGCCTCCTTACAGAGAAGCCGATGATCGGAAAACAAAGGCAGACTTTAGGCCGCCCCGGAAGCAGAGTTGATTTGGGGGTTTCCGAGAAAATTCGGGGTACCTTATTTGGGGGCCCTTCTAATAAGGCTCCTACTATTTAGGGTACTATACTAGGGTCCCCTATTTTCGGAAACCCTAAACCCTAAACCCTAAACCGTCTGGGCGACAGTGTGGGAGCATGGTTTGGTTCTATGGGGGCTTAGAGTTGAGGGGTTTAGGGTTCAAGGGTTTGGGGGTTTGAGGGTGTTTAGGGGTTTAAGGGTGGAGGGTTTCGGGTTTAGGGGCTTGGGGTTTTAGTTTAAGGCAAGCTCTTTCTGCCACCGAAAGACCCTGAATTAGCCCAAACTCGAAACAGAAGGGTCTCGTCCCAGAGCATTCCTTGAGAAGAGCTTCCTCAGATACACACTACACAGGGTTGTGGGTTTATGGTCATAGGGTTTAGCGGTGTAGGGTAATCATGCTGAATTTGTAAAGTAAATACAGAGGGACTTGTAGATAAAAAACAACCTAGGGTTACTTAAGGGTGTACAGTAAACACAAAGGGGTCAGCGGTCGAGATGGTTTCGGGCTACTGAGGTTCGGGGCTTCAGAGATTGAGAGTTGAGGTTGCTACTTGAGACGCAAGAATCCCAAAGCCGCAACTAGGGTTCAGGGCTGAGGGTTTGCAGAGAGCCTCAAACACACCCCACTTAGGGCACGTCTAGCCGAAAATACCGAAATTCCGAGTCCCATGATCCAAACCCCCTAAACCCTAAACCCTAAACCCTGAACCCTAAAGCTTAACCGATTGGAGAACAGCGTAGGAACCTCAAACAGGCCCCGGAGGTGATTCTGGCGGTGCAGGGACCCAGATCCGAAACCCTTAGCCTTAGCCTTATGTCCGAAATCCTACACCCTGAATTCACCCTCTAAATCTTACACCCTAAACCC